ACCACAGAGTTGGAGTCAAAAGGACTTAGCCAGGGAATTAAAAAACAACAAAGACTTCTACCTTTTCTGGCCCAGGACTGGGAGGACCACAGGACCCATTAGAAATAGGGAACAGAGGGACCAGCAGTTAGCTAAATGGCTATGTCGCTGGACTCCCATGTAGTTGAACACAGAGTCCTAGACCTGATGGCTTAAAACTCAAGCCGGGCATGTGTGCGTGTGTGCCCAAGATCCTGAGAGAAGAATGGAGAAGGGATTGCGGTGTGGCCATCCCCCCTGGGGGGTGATTTCTCACTTTCTGTCTCTGTCTTTCTGGCGAGTGTATGCACCCTATAGCAAAAACCTCTCTTAAAAAAAAGAAATAGGGAACAGAGAAAAATCAAAACAGCTTTGAGATGAAAAATTCAGTTTGAGTTATCTGGGATTAGAAGCAGAACATTAAGGAAGAAACGAGCCCCAGCAATGGAAATAGAGTCCAAGCTAAAGAGCAAAGTCAGCCCTGAAATGATTCTGGGAGTTGTCTCCCCAGAAGGGCACTAGAACCAAGGAAGGGAATGAGAGCCTTCAGAAGTGTGTGAAAGGAAAAGCTGAACTGCTGAGGCCAGACCCTTCAACAAAAAGACAGGCTAGCAAAAGATCTGGGGAGAAGGGCTTAGAGAACACAGATGGAACCAAACCACAGGGCTACCAAGTACATATCATGGAACATGACAATCAAACTCCGTAATGATACCTACCAAGGGGGACACAGCCTGAGGACAATGGGCACAGAAGCAATCACATAAGCCCTCCCTTCCCTCGTTTCTTTTACAGCCTTGCTTAGCAAACAGGTTTCAAACATTCTTCTGCCTTTCAGGGAAACAGTACACCCCACAGTTCAAGGACAAGCTATTCATGGCCCTGGTTGCAATGGTGGAAACTAGGGGGTAGGTAAACAAAACAAAACCTGCACTAGTTAAAGAATGAAAACTCTTTCCTTCAGTAAGCCAGGGAATGACAGACTTATTAAGGCAGACATCCTGGAAATGTAATCAGACAGGTTTACATTCCAGATCATTTAGAGGGGTGATCTTGAACACAAGGTCAGAGCCTCTGTTCTGCATATGTGGGGATACAGACTTCATGTCATGACAGCAAGGATCAAATGATATGTACCAGTCAAGCCCTTGGTACTGGGTTGGTACAGGTACCTCCTGCTCCTATCTCCCAGGGATGCTGTAAAGACTAAATAAGATAGAACCCCAATAATATTCTTCCTAGGACCAGCTAGGTGGTGAGGTGGTTAAGGTGTCTAGATCCCACATGGCTGACTGTGTGGTCCTGGGCAACTTGAAAAATACACGGGGTGTGCATGTGTATGTGCCCCAAATCCTGAGAGAATGGAAACAGGATTTGCAGTGTGGCCACCCCTCCTTGGGGATGCTTTCTCACTCCCCCCACCTTGATCTCTCTCCAGTGAGTGCACAAGCCTTATTAGCAAAATTTTAAAAAAGATTCAGCCTACAGGGTGGGCTCTGTGGCCTAATATTTAAGGGAGCTGGATCCCACATGGCTGATGAATCCTGGCCTGGGTGGCACACATGCTAGGTACATAGGCCTGCATGCTTAAAATCCCAACGGGATGGGGAAATGGAAAAGGGATTGCTGTGTAATCATACCCCATTGGGAGGTGCCTTCTGCCTTTCCCTTGTCTGTCAAGGACACACACCCTCTGGCAAAAAAAAAAAAAAAATTAAGATTCAGGCTTCAAAGAGCCTGATTAAATGTACAGTAAATGTTAGTTTCTTCAAACCTTTCCACTGGTGATAAGGCCAGAATCTTATCACTATTCTTTGCCTTCCCCAGCTCAGAAATCTGAAAAGGACACGTCTTTCTCAGGTGTGTTTCCTTTGGCCAGAAAGTAAAATCAGGGTATAAGTTCTGCTCACTATTCAGTATTTGACTCCTCTACCCTTTGCCAGGCCCAGTCCCTCATATCAAAAGCACATCCCCATTTTCAAAGGCCAAGATCCAGCAGAGAAAATACTGGTTCCTGGAGACCAAACAATATCCTGCTCCACGACCATTTATGAGAGCAGCAAAAGGCCAAAGGACGAACACTCTCATGCAACCCACTAGTGAAGGCAATTCATCCTGGCCCACAGCAGCTGAGCCAGACTTAGAGGGAGAGTCAGGTCGCTGAGGGTGGCGGATGTGTCTTTCTGGAGGTTATGACCCTTCTTTCTGGCTCATGCTATTCTCTCAGGATCCCCAAATATGTTCCCTATTACTTACATAAATTTAATTTTATTGCTCTATCAGCTCAGCTGAGCAGATGTCTGGCCCCCAACACCTGCCTTCCAGGCATGTTAAGTATGCACATGTGTACATGAGTAAGTCCCAGGGCAGTTAAAAACCCAAGTGCTTTGTCATCTGGTGCTTGTGTGTTCCAGGCAATGTGTGAGAAGATACACGTATAAGATCTCTTTTCATCTTTGAAACAACCTTTTGAGGACTGTTATTCCCATTTTAGAAATGGGAATATTGAGTCTGAGAAACAAATGGCTCCAAGTATCACGGCCACAAAGTCATGCGGCTGGGGCAGAAAAGACCACAGCAGCAGAGCTCCAAAGTCTTCAAGCTCTGCCATTCCATTACTGGAGGGCTGGCTAGGGACAGGGGCCACATTTCTCCACTACCTATTATTTCAGGCACATGTTGGGGCTCCTCAACCAGAGTCTCCCAGAGAGGTTCTTGGTCTTATCCCTTTAAGAGAATGTTCAGCAGGCTTGGCAAGGAGCTACCTATTTCTTTTGGCTCCCCTGCCCCAGTCTTCCAGACCTTGCCTATGAGTTTTCTGAATCAAGACGCAAGATGGTTCAAAACGTGCCATCTCAGCTGCTGCAGCTGCTCCCTGTAACTGCCAGGTGATGAGCGCTGCTCCCTGGAAGGCACTGTATGGGGCTGTGTACACGTGACTTCAACGAGAACTTCCCCCAAACTCTGTGAGGAAGGTACAGCGCCATCATCCCTGCATTCCCAATAAGGAAACTTGATGGGGTAATAAACTTGTTCAGGAACTTAGCAAGCGTTCAATAAGCGAGGCCGTCGGGCATCCGTGATTCCCCAGGCGAGCCCGGCGTTTCCCAAAGCACGTGCACTAACCCCGTCCCCTTTCAGGAGCTCATTTCACCTCTGCTCGTGTTTTTTTTTTTTCCCCCAAACGAAAGGGGAGTCAGGAGGGACAAGAAGCGGGTCAAGGAGAGGCGGGGTCGGGGCTAAAGTCCAGCCTCTGGACTCCGGTCTCCACCGACACCCCCAGCCCTCCAGAACCCTCCCCGACCCAGAGCATTTAGGCGGGGTCGGGCCTAAAGTCCAGCCTCTGGACTCCGGTCTCCACCGACACCCCCAGCCCTCCAGAACCCTCCCCGACCCAGAGTATTTTATTAGCCCGGCCAGCGCGGGAGTGCAACGGGGCAGCACCACGCTGGCTGTGCGTTGCGGGGCACGACCCGGCCGGGATGGGACGGGGGCAGGAAAAGCAGGGCACCCACCTAGGTCCATGGCGGCGACGCT